GGGAGATGAATGGAAGACCGCATTCAAGACTCGTTACGGGCACTACGAGTACAACGTTATGCCTTTTGGACTTACCAACGCTCCCGCTTCTTTCCAGACGTTGATGAACACTGTGCTTCAACCTTTCCTCGACAAATTCGCCGTCTGCTATCTTGATGACATCCTCATCTACTCCCAAACGCAGGACGAGCACACTGAACATGTTCTATCAGTTCTCAAGGTTCTCGACGAGCACAATCTCTTCGTCAAAGCGGAAAAATGCGTCTTTGACGTCGACACGGTCGAATTTCTTGGTTATGTCGTGTCTCCCACCGGCATTGCAATGGACCCCGTCAAGGTCAACGCCATCATCAATTGGCCTCAACCAAAGTCAGTCCACGACGTCCAAGTGTTTTGTGGTTTCGCCAACTACTACCGTCGCTTCATCTCCAACTACAGCAAGATTGTCAAGCCGCTCTACGCTCTCACAAGCAAGGCGACCAAAGTGTTCCTTTGGAACGATCAAGCTACCGCGGCATTCACTCAGCTCAAATCATTGTTTTCTTCTGCCCCTATCCTCGTTCATTTCGACGCAGACAAGCCAGTGGTCATTGAGACTGACGCCAGCGACTTTGCACTTGGCTGTGTCATGTCCCAAGCCGATGCAAATGGGATCCTTCGACCCGTGGCTTTCCACAGCCGCACCTTCTCGCCTCCAGAAAGCAACTACCCAATCTACGACAAAGAGTTGTTGGCAATTCTTGATTGCTTCAAAGCATGGCGCCACTATCTGGAGGGCTTCTGCACATGCCATCACTGTCTTCACCGACCACAAGAATTTGGAGTACTTCAACACGAACCGACTTCTCAGTTCACGTCAAGTACGCTGGTCCCTCTTCATGTCCAGGTTCAACTACAACATCGTCTATCGACCTGGTGCTCAACAAGGCAAACCTGATGCACTAAGCCGTCGCGAGGACCTCCGGCCTTCCGAGGGGGATCGCAAATCAACTCGCACGATGACTTTCTTCAAGCCAGGTCAATTGTCACTTGCTCCTGTTACTCTTCGGACTTCGCCAACTTCAAGGCAAGTCACCTCTGTGTCGTCTGCTCCCAATTTCCCAGACAACGACTTCCGCGCTCGCATCATTGCCGCGTATTCCGCTGATCCACTGGTGCAAGACGCTCTCGAAGCACTTCAGCAGCCTTCTTTGACGTCAAGCCGTCCATCTTCTCCGACGCCAAGTCGTTCCTCCTCGCCAGCACCTTCTGATGCATCCCATCTCACTGCTGACCAGCCTTTTTCTATCGACAACGGTCTTCTCTTCTACAAAGATCGTGTGTACGTCCCATCTGATGCTCCTCTGAAGCTGGCTATTCTCCAGCAACATCATGACTCGCCTATCTCCGGTCATTGGGGTGTCGCCAAGACTCTCGACCTTGTCTCTCGGCAGTACTATTGGCCGTCAATGCGGGCTTACATCCACGATTACGTCGCAACTTGCGATACGTGTGCTCGCGCCAAGGTATCGCGCCACAAGCCTTATGGTCTGCTCCAGCCTCTGCCTGTTCCAGAGACTCCATGGTCCTCTATCTCGCTAGACTTCATCGTCAAGCTTCCACCCTCGGACTCTTTCGATTCTATTCTTGTTGTCGTCGATCGCCTCACCAAAATGGCTCACTTCATTCCCTACCATGAGGCCACAGACGCAGCAGGCTTCGCAGCATTGTTCATGGACAGAATCTTCACTCACCATGGCATGCCACTCGATATTGTCTCCGATCGTGGCTCTGTCTTCGTCTCCTCGTTCTGGAAAGCGTTCCTTGGTCACTTCGACCCTGCTGTCAAAGCACATCTGTCTACTGCCTATCACCCTCAAACAGATGGTCAGACAGAGCGAACAAATTCCACCCTCGAACAATACCTTCGGTGCTTCACCAACGCCGATCAAGACAATTGGGTCAAGCTCTTGCCAAGAGCCGAATTTGCCTACAACAACTCGGTTCATGCGTCCATCAAGACAACACCCTTCTTTGCCAATTATTCTTACCATCCTCGGTCTGGTCTACGCTTCGATGCCACTACCGATTCTCGCAATGCTACTAGCTACGACATGTCTCAACGTCTCAAGCTTGTTCAACAAGAACTCAAGGATCATCTCAAAGACGCTCAAGCTGCTCAAAAGGCCTTCGCTGATCGTCATCGCCTTGAAGCTCCTCCCTTCGAGCTCGGCCAGAAAGTCTGGCTCAACGCCAAGAACGTCCAAGCATTGCAGAAACAAGGCAAATTCTCACACAAGAATCTCGGTCCTTTTCCCATTACCGACACAATCCACGACCGAGCCTTCCAACTCCGTCTTCCTGCCTCGATGCGAATACACAATGTGTTCCACCCTAGCCTCTTGTCTCCTCATCAATCACCAGAGTCCCTCGGCAAGGCCTACCTGGAGCGACCTCAAGAAGCTCCCGAGCCTATCGTCGTCGGCAACAACCTGGAATGGATCTACGATGAAATCATGGCTATTCAACCACGCGGTAGCGGCTTCCAATACAAAATCCACTACGAAGGCTTCCCACACGATGAGGACGAGTGGATCCCTGCTCGTGAGGCCTACCAGAATGCTCCGATTCTTGTTCACGACTTCCATCTCCGCAACCCCGATGCTGCTGTCCCATCCTACGTCAAGCTACCCACTCGACCAAGTACGCTTCGAGACGCAGCGCCTGGAGGAGGAGGTTCTGTAACGAACACGCAGCCTTAAACCTCGCATCCGACTTTCCCGCACCACATGCTCTGGCAACTCATCGCGGCTCTTCTACCTTCCGCCCTTCAACGACGCTTATCACCTCAGCACGTTGCCTATCGTCCCGCGCCTAGCTTCCTCGCTTCCGGCAACGCTCTGTCACGTTGTCCTTACTCGCTCTCTTACTCGTCGACGACGTCTACCACGTCGTCCCTTGTTCTGTCTCTTCCTTATCTTGCAGCTCGGACATCTCCACTGGGCTCATGCAATCTCGCTTCCCCTCTTCTTTCACTGTTCTCCTGCTGAGAGTCGGCTCCCGTGGGCTCAATCCCCATCATCGCCATCCGCTCTCATGCTGGTACCTGGTAGACATAAGTAGGCAGCCTTCCGCTGTCTTGTTCCTTAGTTTACAATTTCTATTCTTGTCCCCTACATCTCGCCCAAGTCCTGTCTTCAGCACAAGCATTCGTCCTGTCCTGTTCGCCCTTCGTCACATGAGACTGGCTCCAGATAGCCGTAGAGATATTTGGCGAGATTTCAACGTTTTGCCCCTCAGTATTCTTGGCCATGGGCATCCAGACTTTTGGAACCTTGACGCCCATTGTGCAAGCACAAGTGAAGGAGCAAGGATTCACGGGCGAAGGAAAGGCTTCAGCAGCATTGATATCGACCTCTTCAACAATTGATTTAATGCAGGCTCTGACGTCCATCATGGGTCGGCGGGTGCGTTCCCTGGCAATGTCTTTGTATGACTTTCCAGATGCCATGCATTCAATTGCGCACCAGTCCTGGAACTGAATGAAATTCGAATGGTATTCTTGCATTGTTCCGCATGTGCCGTCCTGGTCCTGATGTGTCATCATCATACTGGTCAGGTTAAATGTCGCACGATAGCAAGTACGATCTCGATCATGATCGAAGTGCCATATGCCCAGTGTATTGCTCAAGCGATGCGCATCGTTGTGTGGCTGAGCTTGGTTGTGAGCGATCGTAAAGCTTGAGCTTGGTGCAGTATCCATAGCTTCTGCAGCTGCTAATTCCTGTACATAGATGAAAGATGTGACAATTGAGCAGGTCCTGATCAGCAAGCTGGCCCACGGCATTCAAGAAGTCTGTCTAGACACCATATGCTGCATTGCAGGCAAGTCTTCTGGCAGTAGTTTTGTTTTGCGGACAGTGGACACCCTCTGGAAAGGCCGTTTGGAGAGTGGCCAGACCAGCTGACGTGTATCAACTGGGAAAGGAAGGTCTCCTGCAGTAGACGCAAGAGGTCAGGGGCAGTGGTTCAACATTGACACTTTTGCATCACAAACCAATGAAAAGGTTGTTCGCTTTCGAAGGCCAAATTCTGGACCTACAACAAATTGCCAATATCCGGCTATTTGACACGTCCTAAGCAGACTAATTGCCTGTGAGATCAAATAGCGGGTTCTGATCGTATTCAAAAGGAGAAGGTTAATTTGCCCCGAAAGCTATGTATCGAATTGGATATGATTTCTTTGTAGTTGCAGGAGCCATGCCAAGACTTGCGATTTCTTCAGTGAGGCGGAGTTGATTCTATGAACAAGCGTGGAACATCCTGATCTGATAATAGCTTGCAGTTGTCTGTCGTCTAAACATCGCGCAAGGCAGATGTCGGCAGCTGCAAATGCTGTACTTTAGTTATCACCCATCTGATTCAACTTCCCGGACCGCCGAAGCCGCGACCGACCTCAACCTCGACCGCTTCTCTTCTACCGTGCATCTCCAGGAGCCCAGTGATGGGCAGCAAGCGGCGGCAACCTTTTATCCTTGCGCAGGAGGCTCTGAATGCATCAATCGAACCACCCATCCCATTCATCACAGCGCGCCGATTCTGGATCCTCGTCTACCTCTACCTCGGGCTCACAGCCGCCTCGGCCCTCATTGCGCGCCTCGCATGCCGTCCGATCCTGGCAAAGATCCTAGCTGCGCGTCGTGCACAGACGGCACATGCAAGTGGTCTCGTGGCTGGCTTTGTGGAGCGTGCAGGAGAGGCTGTCAACATCAATCGACAGGAAGCAGGCGGTGTTGTGGTGGATACGAAACGACACAAATTGCTCGTACACAGCTATACTCAGACTGGCGAGGATGTATCAGGGACTAGTGCGAAAGAGGTGTCTGTTGACGATGCCAAGAAGAGCGCGACGGTGGGACCGGATGTCACATTGGCGCAAATCAAGACGTCGATATCGACCATGAGCAGCGATGGCGAGGCAGATGCATACAGCGGACTCTTACAACGCAGTGCAGCCTTCAAAGAGTATCTCGACAGCTTGAATCAAATGGCGTACCAGCGGAGTTATGCGGCTCCTGGAGCGCATGGCAGTACAGACAAGGGCATACAGAAGTGCAAAGCAGAGATCAGAAGCGTCAAGGGATCTGTATTGAATGCAAGGAACTTCCCAAGTCGAATGATATCGCAGCAGCAGCAGCAGCAATATCACAAACAGCCAAGTCTGGCCGACTTCAAGACAGAGTCTGCTGTTGCTCCTTCATAAGTCGTGTCTACATCTAGATTGCATCCAGTCCTCCAATCTTCAAACATAGTCGTTGGTTATCCACAGAAGCTTGCTCCAGTTTGCCCTTGGCAATCGCTTCCTCTTCACGAATGCCTGCTGCTTCCTGATCAAGCTCGGTGAGGTGCTGTTCTTGTGTCTGCAAGCGAGTGCGTGCATGTCAGACAAGTCAGCAGAAGAGTAGATGAACCGTGCAGCTGGTCTTGTCGCTACATCCTCGGAGACGGGCACAGATCATTGTCGACCCACCGAAAGAACATGTCTGCTTCGTGGCGCGCATCGTCAACGCTGTCACCAGCAAAGTCAACGGGCGCTACCTGAGCATACTCTAGCTGTGCCTTCTATGACCAGCAAATAGTCTTCTGGCACTATGCGTTGTCCGGTGTGGAGAGTCTGAGCACCCTTGTGTGGGGTCTTTTTTTTTTGTTCCGTTGTCTTACATAAAATTTTACCTACTCCTCTCAGGACTCTATGGCCTATATAGGAACTTAGCGGCACCGCCGCTTGTTCTGTCTTTGGAAAATACACGCCCCGCGTGTATGGCTCTTCCAATACTTGCCCTCGCGCGCAATAGATTGCGGCACTTCCTGCTCCGTCATTGTTGGGGATCTGGCCTAAGCCGATATTTGTTTATATAGCGGGCAACACCGCTGGCTTTACGGGTTGTGGCTTTACTTCATGAGGATAAGCGGAAAGCCTCTTGCTGCCTTATTTTTCATTCATAAAATTTGTATTCTGGTAGAATCATCTCTATCAACCTCTCTTGTTGTCTAGCGGTCTCGACATGGCCTCGCTTCGCTCTGCCTAGTCACTCGACCAAAGGGATGCACTTTGTGCATCGAATCTTACAGAGGGTTTCGCTGCAGGAGCACCGGTCACAACGGTCGCCAAACCTGAAGCGCCCGCGACTAAGGCAATTAGCCATCATCGAAACTATATGCGCTAGCGTGGTTTCTTACTCGATTGCAGCTGCGCTTACCATCGAGGTAGTCGATGACAAGATAGAAAGCTGCACAGCTTGAAAGAAAAGGCCTGAAACCCCAAAGCTGATGAGTTTCATGACTTTGATGAAAATTCAATATGCGATTGATAGTGTTTTGGGAGCTGATCATTAATCATTCGTACTCCTTCACTTGGATATTACGTACGTGCCGGTCAGTTGTTGATCCTGGTGATATTGTAGAGGATGATGAACCTGAGAGACAAGCTGCCAGTGCGAACAGGCTGTTCTTAACGATTGCGAGAGGCCACATGATGATAGTGCCAAGAACTCAGGGGTTGAGGCATAATAGACCTTTTCGTCGAAATCCTGTTGAATTGTGGCTATGTTGAGTCAATTTGGTCAAATCTAGTAGCGTGCTCGTGACTTCACATCCTGTTGCAAACGATTGGGCAGTGTTTGCTGTGGCTGTGTCAATTTGCAAAACACGCTGTTCGCACTGTGGCCAGCTCTAGGCCTCACTAGGTATGCAGTATCATGCACAATGTCACCCGAATAGCCGAAAGCATGGAGGAGTTTTCGTTCTAGAACGATAAGGAAAGGATATTCTCAATTTCTCAGCTCGGGTCGGCTGCAATGGCAATTGCAATTGTCACCCCTGAAACAATGAAGCCGCGTTTCTGACTTTCTAATTCCGACCGCGGCTCCCACAACGCCATACAATGCAGGCTACAATATTGAATCACAGTGTATCACGTATTTCGA